TTACTGATATCAGATTGAATGTTGAAACACCCTAGATCCTGCCCAAAGTCTCTAAGCCATACGTCCTGAATTTCTCATCACTGCCCTAGGAGAAGGGACTAGACAGAGACAAAGATTTTTCTTTTGAAATTCTCTACTAGGCCTTAAGCCAGAAGCACCTTTGTGGACACAGCCTTGCTTTCCTTACACACAAGATCCCTGCTCACCAATGCATAGTCCAAGCAGATACTCAACTCGTAGTGAAAGCTCCCTACAGGAGCTTTGCAAGAGGCCTCAGCCTCAGCCAGTCCTTGGGTTCCCCTCTATGAGCCACATGGCCTCCTTGCTGCGACTGTGTTGTGAGTCAGGATGTTCTGCGGTGCATTGTACAGCAGCTGGTCCCTGAGCACACTCTGCTGAGAAGAGCCGCCCCCACAACCATCACTTTCACAGGATTCGCCTTGCCAATTATTAGTACAATGGCCAATTCTTATCCTGTGTAGCTCTTGGGGAAAATATGCAGCCTAGGGAACTGGCCTAGATTGGAAATGGAACAGCAGAAGTTGCCAATTAACATGAGTTCCTTTTTTGCATCCCCTAAAGGGGTTAGTCTCAAAGGAGAATTTATAAAAGACTTGATCCCAGGCCCTCTAGGAACTCCTTAGATGTCTCAGATATTTTGGGGTAAGGATGAGTGTCGAAGGTCACTTGGTCCAACTCTGTGTCCAGTGCTTGAATTCCTCAGGTGACCTCATCAGCTTCTTCCTGAGTACGTCCATGTTTGAGGAACTCACCGCTCTCCATGGCAGTGCATTCCACCTTAATCAAACCAAATCCACCTCCCCATACCTTTTCCACCTTGGTCTTAGTTAATGAGTGAGCCTAGCCAACCACTCAGCATCCACTCCCAGGAAATAGTCTATCACTCGGGAAAATGGTTCTTAGGACAAGAATGCAAGTTTTGGAAAAGCACGAGAGAAAGCCTACTGTAGCAGAAAGGCTAATGGATGGGCTTTTGCCTGAAAGGCAAAGTCAGGTTATAGATTCGGCATGTGGAAGGCTGCAGGCAGTTCCTAAAAATTCACTTGTAAACATATCAGAAAATGTGCAGAATTCCAGTAGAATGTAGAGCAGAGTAAAGTTGCAGCCTTGGCTTCATAGCAGTTTACACTTTGATCAGGAAGATCGGAAGGAATGGAAGAATTTGGGGAAACTGAAGCCAGTCCAGACTAAGCAGGTCTTGAGATGGATAGCACCAGTCTCGGGGGAAGGGTCTGATGGTCAAAGGCCTTGGCTACTCTCTAAAACTTTCTGTGTATGCCATAAAGACTGCTTCAAGTGTCTCTGCCTTAGGCCTAGTTCAGACCTTCTCATGAGCCTGCCCTGCCCTCTTAGAAGGGATGTTGGCCCAGAAACACAGGGAGTCTAGGACAGTCCCCCAATATGTGGGAAGAGCAAGGAGAAATATGGGGGGGAGATCTTCCTTCCACATGAGGGAGACAGCAAATCAAGAAAACAGGTTAACGAGAACAGACAAAGGGGGACTTTGTCACCATAGCAACAAGCCCAAGAATTCTGAAAGATGAAATTTTTATTCTTCTTTTCACCTGTCTCTCTTCTCCACACTGTCACTCTCTTCCCCACTCCTGGCGGGAGATGGCCTGTGACTTTTTTACTCCTACCAACAATCTGACCGACTCCTGGGCATGCAGCTGCCTCAGGTTGGGAGAAGAATGGAGTCCCCAGGAGCAGTACTCAGAAGACTCAAATGCCATCTCCCCCCTTCTCCTGGTCATAGCTGGGAAGCATTTCATTTGCCCGGGAAGCGTGTCGCTTGCCTGGGAAGCGTGAACATAGCTGTTTGTACACAGGTCCACAAGGAAGCCCCATGAGGACACTGGGCCGGAGGAGGAATCAGAGTTCTTGTCCTCAAATAAAAGGGATTTTTATCTCTGCCCCAGGCTGCCCTATTACATTCCAACAGAATAAGTCGAAGAAAGTCAGTAAAGGCAACTGAAAAGAAGACCATGGCCTCAGGCCTCCTTAGAAAGATCTAAATTCGGTGCTGTCAGAAACCTAATGACACACATAAGGGAATTCACAAAACCTTGTCTAAATGGAAACTCCTCCACTATCTGGGCTAAGACTACACCAACGCCAGCCCTTCATCCTACACCCAGTTATACGATGCCAAATTTAGATGGTTCTGTAGTTACATCTGGTATTGGGCCCAAGTTCCCCCTTGATTCCAGAAGTCTCCCTGATCCCTGCCACTACAAAGCTATAGTAGCATAATCAAGGATCAGTGACACTGTATGTTCTGCAAAAGCTGTCAGTTCCCATACTATCTAGCTGCCCTCTTGGTATGGGATGTGTCTCCCTCCACACACACATTGCCATCTCCCTAGGCCAGAGACCTCCTTCAGCAATGAGGGATGCTCTCCAATTGTAGATAGAATTGATTGGACCTCCTCCTTCACAGTGGTGTAGAATATGCCCCTTTCTCTCACTTCATATGACGATCTGACCCTACTTCCTTCCAAGATATGCCAGAAATGGACACTCCTCCTATTATAGCCAGGCAGGCAGCATCCTCTTAAGGGTCTTGGAAGATAATAACAGAAAAAGATGACCACCGTTCTCTTATCCACAACCAAGGTGAACTTGGAAAAGACCATGGTGACCAAGGAGGCAAGATGTGCTTCAGCTGTTAGAAGGCAGATCAGCAGGCCAGGCTTGGTGGCTCAGCCTGTAATCCCAGCTCTTTGGGAGGCCGAGGCGAGTGGATTGCCTGAGTCCGCGGATTCGAGACCCACCCGGGCAACTTGGCGAGACCTTGTCTCTACAATAAATCAAAAACTAGCCGGGTGTGGTAGGGCATGCCTGTAGTTTCAACAACTTGGAAGACTGGGGCGGAAGCATCGCTGGAGCCCAACAGGTCGAGGCTGTGGCGGCTGGGGGCATGCCACTGCACTCCAGTCTGGGCGACAGAGTGAGACACCAACTCAAAAAAAAATGAAGACTGATCAGCCTGTGAAGCCAGCAGCACCCAGTCTTCTTGTCTACCACCTTTCCTCAGGCCTGTTCCCCATCTACTCCCTCTGAGTGTCAACCACTCTTTGCCAAGGTTTGAGCTGATCATACCTTAAGATGCCGCCTCACCCCAAAACCCACCCTGTCTACACAGAAGAGTTTTATAAGAATTTCTGTTAACAGTAAGTCCTGAGGACTCTAAAGAATTACTCTCGGCCAGGCTCAGTGGCTCAGCCTGTAATCCCATGCTTTGGGAGGCCGAGATGAGTGAATTGCCTGAGCTCGTGGGCTCAAGACTGGCCTGGGCAACTTGGCGAGACCTCATCTCTACAATAAATCAAAAAATTAGCCAGGTATGATAGCTTGCGCTTGTAGTTCCAGTTACTTGGAAGGCTGAGGCGGAAGGATTGCTGGAGCCCAGCAGGTCGAGGCTGCGGTGGCCGGGAGCGGCCACTGCACTCCAGTCTGGGCAACTGAGTGAGACTCCAACTCAAAAAAAAAAAAAAAAAAGGAATTACTCTCCAGAGGAAGAATTACATGCCTCCTGAACAACAAACAGAGAGACATTGTGAGCATTCTGAAAATCATGCAAAGTGGGAATTTACTTGTTCAGCCAACTCCTGAACCAAGTATCAAATTCATTTTTTCCACATTACCCTTATCAGGCCATTATGCCCAAGCAGGAGAAATTTTGCCCCTTTGCATCCTCTGAATAATCATTTTCACTGCTTCCAAAGCCAGGACATGCTTTGCCAAGTGTAACCTATATTCAAGAGCCATCTGCTTCAGCAATACAGGAAGCCACCAAGGGGGTATGCTTTAGATAATCCCACAGCTCTGCTGGCCAAGGCTGCTTCTGGGGAAGGAAGGCATGCTGCTATTTGCCAGCAACAGTCCCCAAGCTCAGCCCTGCTGAATCCTGTACAATGCACCAACTAGAACTGGGACAGAGGCCACTGACTTGGTCAAGAAGAGATTTCTTTCCACATGCCCAGATTCTAACAGGCAGATGTCAAAAGAGTCCCTAGGGCAAACAGTCCACCCCCTGCATGGCTCACCTACATCCCCACCTGAAAAGGAACACATGGAGATGTGTAAGAGCCATATGCTATCCAGTGTCTCCAACCAGCCAGGGATAGTGTCTACCTGTGCCAGCTGAGGCATGCATTTCATTTTAATTCAATGAGACACTTGTTGTACCTGAACAAACAGTACAAACAAAGGGTTAGAGTCACCATGACATCTAGAGATGAGTATTCTTCTGAGAGTGAAGGGACTTATTTTGCCTGTATCAAGAATTTGAGCAGTTCCCCTCCTTTCCAGAGCCATTGCCTCCCACCACAACCACCAGTTATGTGTGATTGTCCTCACCACTTGAGAAGGTCTTGTCCCTCAGGTCCCCACTTTTGAGCCCCGCTGGAGGTGACAAAACTCAGAATGGCCTTCCTCATCCTGCACAGAATGAGAGCCGGCCACCTTGTGTTGGACATGAGTGCTTGTCTCCAGGCTAGCAGTTGAGCACCCTCCTCCGTGACCCAGCTCATCCAAAGCCAGGGCAAAATCTTTTACTGCAGGCAATAGAGATTTCTAAATTCAGCTACCTGGGTCTGCCTACAGTGTTTTTAGCAAGCACCTCCAACAGAAAAATGATACCAATTAAGCATAATTATTAGGATTTAATAGAGCCATTTTTCTGTCTCATTGCCTTTTTGCTATTCCAAGCTCCCCAGTTTTTTTACCTTAAACCAGGACTCAGAGCAGTAAGTTAACGTATATATCAGTTGGTCTTCATTATATGTACAATAACTGTCTTATTAAATTGAAATCAAATGCATATCTAGGGGAAAGTTCATTTTAAGTACCAACTCTCAGAAAACTGCTCAGAGACATAAACAATAAGCAAGACCAATGTGTTGCTGAGCGACAGAGGAAATGGGGGCAGAAACTGGGCTGAAAGGGAAGGGACACAATCTTCTGAAAGAATGGGGCAAGCACAATAGTACAGATCTTGGTAGAAGCTGCCCTGAATTTCTTGTGGCATCTCCTGTCCTAGAAAAGTTGTTGAGGAGGAAGGACATGTAATTCTAAATTCAACATAACCAGAGATGCTTGGAAAATTTATAAATATATATACACATACATTTTTTTCCCCCTGGCGAAGTTTAATACTCAGTCAGTGAATACAAAGCCTTTCCAACTACTATAAATCTTAAGGAGGGAGTGGGGTTGAATGTATGTGTGTATACTGTTGCTTGAGTGATCTTTAGCCTCTTGCCTCACTTTATTTTTCCCCTCCCCCTCCTTTCCCTTCTCCTCTTCCCAGGACAAGACAAGTGCTTTGAGCCTCAGCAATGTGGCAGGCGTGTTCTACATCCTGATTGGAGGACTTGGTCTAGCCATGCTGGTTGCCTTAATCGAGTTCTGCTACAAATCCCGTAGTGAATCCAAGCGGATGAAGGTGGCATCGTCTTCCCAGACCTTTCTCCTAACCTGTTTATGATACAGCTGGGTTTCCTGGGAGATTCTTTGCTAGAGAGCGTGGGAAGTGGCAGGTAGTTGAGGTCAACCCAAGGCAGGAAGTTAGAAGGAAAGTGACAGGGACAGAGGCAGTCACAAAAAAGGAAGGAAGATGGGGTGTGTTGGGGAAAACACAAGGTCCAAGAGAACAACTGCATCAGTCAACAAAAGGTCGGTGAGATTAAAGGTTAGGGTTTTGAGTGGACAGTGAACATAGCCAGAAGCAAGAGTCATTGCTACAAAGGCTGATTCTCTCTGAAGCTATATCAATAGAAGGTCAACACCCAGAAGAGGGGAAGGGATGTCTATGTGCTGATCTTGTCATGCTTAGTGAATTGAGTCTTTTCTTAGCCTCCACACTGTGAGATAGATATTGGCAAAGAGGCTGATGCTCAGAGAAAGGTAAGCAGATTAGTCAGGGGATCCCAAGTCATATCAAAGATAGCTTAAGGGAATGGGAGAAGTGAAGAATTGTGGAAATTTTAAGAGCTGTCTATAAAAATATCAATACTTTCCAGGTGGGAAAGAAGACAGACTAGTTCTGTGGCGTCCCAAAGCATACAACAAAGCAAATAACCAAAAATGACTCAAAATAGATGTCAACACAATATGCAAAATCTACTTTTCTAATAGAGCTACCCAAAGATAGGCTAGACTATCCCAAAAAGTAGCATGCTTCCCATCACTGAAGATACACAGGTAGAGGATGAATAATTCTTGATAAGGATATCCAGTCACCCAAAGGGAGTTTGGATTAAATGAACTTCAAGACCCTCATCTTTCATCATCTAACTTCAGTAAGAAGATACTTATGGAAGTTAATCATGTGAATAATACCATGAGCAAGGTATTACGAGGGGGCAGAGAGAGCTGAGGTGCAATTTGTGGCCTTCAATGCCTTTGAACCTCAACAAAGAATGGGCACAGAAAAAGTACTCAACTAAGCAACCTACAATATAGATAGAAAGACCTACTGGAATTTAGAGGAGGAAAAAATTGGAGAAGCCTTCTGGGAAGAGGCAGAAATTAAGAAGGGCATGTGGGATTCAGATCAGAAGGGGAGAGAATCACAGTCCCTCTGGGCGATGCACCAGTGGTGACATGTTGTCCTAGGCTGTTGCCTTGGTGTGACTAAGACTAACAAGATCCATTGGTAGAATTTGCTTTCCTAGAACGTTTCCTAAAAAGCCCACTTTTCATCAGACTATTGCTCCCAAGCTTAGTATGCCCTCCCTTGGATTACAGTCTCCTGCTCTCAATCCTACACATGGTCACCCTTGGAGAAGAAATGTCTGGGTATTTTCTTCTTCCATTTGGAAACTCTGTGTACATTTCTGAATGTGGGGAAGTGGGGGCCTTCTGTTCTGGGACTCAGCACTTCCCTGTCATTGCTCCAGCCAACCTCTTCCAGTCCCCACCCCAGCAATCTCCTCCTCTCCCACACTCCATACCCAGCCCCCACCACATGCTTTCCACCCATGTGCCTTTATGCAAGCTGATCTCTCACCTTGTCTAATGTCTCACAGGACCCAAGTAAAAGACAACTTCCCAAGACATAATAACAAGAAACAAGAAAGGGATAGTAGTGTGATGACATTTGGCCAGGAGACCTAGAAAATACCTCTGTCATAACCTCAACCAGTTCACCTATCTCCAGGTCCCCTCAGAAAAGATGAAGATAGCAAAGGCATAGGCTTTAGACCCTAAACCCAGTGTAGACCTCCCAGGAGCTTGGTTGAACACAGCAAGGACTCCTGGAACCTACATAAGGCTTTCTTTGCCCATTTCATCCATAACGAAAGCCTAAAGACACTCCTATCTTACCCTCCAAAGTGAGGAAAGACTGCTTCAGTGGCAAAGACGGGGACAGGATAAGAACTAGGAGAGCTATAACCTACACAGCCCCCCACACCTTTCCCCACAAACCAGGGGCCTAGAGTCGGCACAGTACAGATCATAGGAGCTCCTTCTCACTGCTTCCCTAGGACACAGTGTGGTATTGTGGGTTCGAAAACAAACTCTGGAGACTCAGTGTCTGGCCATCAATCCTATCTGCTCCATTTGTTACCTGTATCTTCTTGGACACATTTTAGTAACTCTCTGATCTTCATTTTCTATAAAATGGGGGCATTGGTAGTACATAGCTCATAAAATTATATTAAGGAGTATATGAAATAATGTATAGAAATGGCTTAGCAAATTACCTGAGCCACAGTGAGCCCTCACTAAATAATAACAATGATAACTAATATTTATGTTAATAGTTATTAGTGGCCAGATACATCTTCCTTGAAACTCTACTTGTATTGCCCCTACTTACACATGCCAGGTTTTCTGAGCTGTATAGATGGTGAGTTCCTTAAGGTAAGAAGCTGTGTCTGATTTCTTTGTGGACCTCCCACACACCTAGGGTAAGTATTAGTAACACAAACGTGGAATTGTATACAGAAGAGAAAAACTTTTGGTGGATAAGTCAAGACATGGGAGGGAGCTGCTATTAGCTTAAGCAGATACTGCCACCAAAACCACCCAGTCTGGGAATTACAAATGGGATCATCCAAGGTAGTTTGGACGCTATCTGTTTTTATAAAATGTGATGACAAGGCCGGGCGTGGTGGCTCAAGCCTATAATCCCAGCACTTTGGGAGGCCGAGGTGAAAGGATTGTCTCAGCCCGCAGGTTTGAAACCAGCCTAGGCAACATGGTGAGACCTTGCCTCTACAATAAATAAAAAAATTAGCTGGGCATGGTAGTGTGTGCCTGTAGTTCCAGCTACTTGAAAGTCTGAGGTGGAAGGATTGCCTGAGCCCAGCGGGTCAATGCTGGGGTGGCCGTGAGCGTGTCACTCCAGCCTGGGTGACAGAGTGAGACTCCAACTCAAAAAAAAAAAGTGATAAGACCAGGTATCTGCCAAGCAGAAAAGCCCCTGGACATCAAACCCTTCCTCTGTGATTACAGTGATTCCCACTAATTATGGCTGATGCTGGGTGATGGTACCAGGTAGCTAAAGCCTGTGTGCCTCTTAAAACTGGGACAAAGTTGACTTTCACCACTGAAGTCACAATATTCAGGTTAAGATGAGAATCTTTAGAAGAGACCACTGCATCATGGCGTAGCTTCTTGGAGACATTGTCACCCTTCCCTATGTTAAATTTCTCGAAAGCCAACATCAGAATCTCTTGGAATCATTAATTCAACATATTCCACCACAATTTTCTATTATTGATTCCATTGATTGGCATGACTTCTGACCAACTCACTGAGGCTCCTAATAGAATTTTCAATTCTAGTTCCAACTGCAGAAACCTACTTTCTCTATTAATCAATCCAGCCCTCAATTGTTGACGCTTCATCGACTTCTCTCTTATCCAAGAGAGATAAGTGGAGTGCATTCCACTTGCCTCTCAGACTGTCCAGCCTTGCGATGCTCTTTATTATTCTGTGCTTTGCCTCCTCCAAAAGCAATTAGCTCTTTTCAGAAGTGCAGCCCCCAACCTCACACAGAGACCCAAATCGATAGTGATGAGAGCCTCTGGCAAGAGCCTTTCCTCTTGTTTCTTCCCTTGATCATGGTATTTGGCCAGCTTATAAGGCCTCGAGCCCCTGAACTAGTTCAAGGCCAGCCTCTCATGCCTCAGCAGTGTTTAAAAAGCTCTTCTCCACTCTTTGTAGATGAGGGAAGGAGAGGGAGAGGGCAGAAAGGAGAAAGAAGGGCAGGAGAGAGAGAAAAGAAAGGAAGTAAAAAGGAAAGACAAAATTTTAGTAACTTTTATATTCTAAGTGCTTTCTGTACATTTCATTAACCGTGCAGTGTACTGTGTTCTCACAGTCCTACAGATGAAGTAGAAGTTCAAATAAGCTAAGTAGCTTGTCCTAGCTGGGTCACACAAGCTAGATGCTGGAAACACAGGAATTAGACCTCCAACATGACTTCCAAAAAGCCTGGGCTCTTGGTCCTAGCCAAGCCACTTCTAAATTTCTCTCTCCTGCATCAACCACATGGCAACAAGTCATTTTTGAGCACCTGCTACGTGTGCTTCCAGTCCCAGCCACCGTGCTGCTCACAGACAAATAAAATGCAGCCCCACCCTTAAGTTTCCCTGATCTAGTTGTTGAGGCTGACTATAGTATTTAATCCCTCACTGTGTGTTGTTGAGTCTCTTTCCCCTTTGACATGTCATGAGCAGGACGCATGATATGTGTCACAGGGACCATGGGAAGGCACCTACAGGTGTTCCTTTCACAAAGATGTACTGAGCACCACTGTATACCAGGCAATGCTCAGCACTGGGGATAGTCAGGAATGAAACAGACACAGCTTCTGTTCCCAGGAAGCAGAGAGTTTGGTGGGGAAGACAGAAAATAAGCAAACACGTGTTCAATGAGTGCTCGTGAGGAAAAACACCCAGTGCTGTAAGTATAGAGCAGAGGTCTGTCCTGATGGGAGGATAGGGACCAGGATAGTCAGAGGAGCTTCTCTGAGAAAGTAGAGTTTACCAGACTTGGAGCATGAGAGAAATTAACAAGAGAAAAAGAGTTGCCAGCAAAGGATGCACAAGCGTCAGAGACACAAAGACTTGAACTCTTGCCCAGAAAGGGAAGAAGGCATGGAGACTGGGACACACGTGGGAAAAGGGTGACATGTGAAAGTGGAAGAGAGGGGCTTGGGGCAGCCCATAATATTTGAGTCTAATTTAAATTGTTATATAGTTACAAAAATATCTAACTTGAGACATGTACTCAATTGAATAAAGTCTCAGATCCCCTGTCCCTCCCTTCTGCTTGGAAAAACAGGCTGGAACCTAGGTCTTTAGCTGATATTAAGGACACCCGGAGTCTTTAGTATTCAATACCTCGCTCAAAGGAAAATAATTCCTGGCCTCTCCCAGCCCCAGGAGAGCCCCTGACCTTTCAAAATTATATGTGGTTGTGCTAACACAGGGCGTGTTTAAACAGCAGCAATTGAGGGCTTGCACATTTCTCTGGAATTAGTGAGCAGCTGAGGGACTTAATAACACAGGGGGAACATCCTCTACGGCAGGTGGTCACTCTGGCTCTTTGCATGCATGCCTGAATGAGGTCATTTCTGAAGTTCAAGCCTTTTATTAGGATGTTCTATGACATGCAGTGGCTGGGCAGACTCTTCTTAGAAAAGCAAGCAGCTGGCTGGGTGCAGTAGCTCATGCCTATCATCCCAGCACTTTGGGAGACCGAGGTGAGAGGATCACTTGAGCCCAACCTGAGCAACATAAGGAAACCTTGTCTCTACCAAAAAAATCAAAAATATTGGCCAGGCATGGTGGTGCATGCCTGTAGTCCCAACTACTCAGGAGGCTGAGGCAGAAGGATCACCTGAACCCAGGAAGTTGAGGCTGTGGTGAGCTATGATCATACCACAGCACTCCTGCCTGGGCAACAGAGTGAGATTCCCAACTCTAAGGAAGAAAGGAAGGAAGGCAGGAAGAAAGGAAGGAAGGAAAGAAGGAAAGAAAAGAAAATCAAGTGGCTGAGAAGTTAGGATGTAATCAGTTAGAGAAATTAGTCTCTGAAGGACCAATTTGAGGGCTTTGAAGTTCAACCTTTCACTCACCCCTTTCTCTCTGAGTATTAGTTTCAAAACCAGCAACAAACTTTACAAGGATGAATTTTAAGAATGAAAAAGAATAACATCATCTTATGACAACTTAGCTACGAGGTTAGGAATAACCATATTTAGAGGGCCATCCATCTTGTCACTAGGTCACGGATAACTGTTACCTTAAACAAGTTAGTCTTAGTGGTTAATTTCTCTGTAAAGTGAATGAGATAAACTAGATCACTGTGGTTTAACCTTGCTTGCATTTTAGAATCACTTGGGGAGCTTTTAAAATTCTAAGGGTCCAAGCCACATATCACACTATCTCTGGGATAGAAGTCAGACATCAGGGATTTTTCCCCCAAATCCCTAGGGTAATTCCAGTGTGCAACCAAGTTTGAGAACTTGTGATCTAATTGACTTTTAGTATCACTTTCTACTATGAAGTTTTGACTCTACTCATCTCTTCTCCTAAGTTCCATAAATGTACTAGAAAGGAAGCCAATAAGAAGCCAGTACCCACCAGTGACAGGGATATAGAATCACTGACCTCTGCGATGTCCTCAGCTTCTTTGAAAACCAATTCCAAAGACATGACCTCTGAGGTTTTTAGTTACATGCCTGGCTAAGTTATCTCAGACTTTGGCAAGCATCCATGTTGACCAACAAAGGTCATTAATCTTGTCCTTTAAGATAAATTCATGAAGTACCACCAACTTCAATGGAATATTATGGAAATATGTGAGCCTTTTGAGAAACAAAAGCCAAAGTGATCTGTATGAACTTTCTTTCTTTTTTTTTTTTTTAATTAAAAAGATGTGGCAGACTGGGTGCAGTGACTCAGTCTGTAACCCCAGCATTTTGGGAGACTGAGATGAGCGGATTGCCTGGGCCTATGGGTTCAAGAATGGCCTGGGCAACTTGGTGAGATCTCATCTCTACAATAAGTAAATAAATAAATAAAAATTAGCCGGGTGTGGTAGCACACTCCTGTATTTCTGGCTACTTGGAAGCCTGAAGTGGAAGGATAGCCTGAGCCCAGCAGACAGATGCTGGGGTAGCCGTGAGCATGCCACTGCACTCTAGTCTGGGAGACGGAGTGAGACTCCAACTCAAAAAAAAAAAAAATGTGGCAGAGAAAAATCATGAAGGATAGACATTTCAAGCTAATCTACAGAAAGCTCCATATTTTGCATAGATACAAGTAAAATGTTATTTTCTTTTTTCTTTCTTTTTTTTTTTTTTTTT